GTCTGTCATATTTGCCCAAGAAAAACACGAAGGAAACACGGGAGTGCTTCCTCTGGGATTTGGTCCTTTTTCCTGTCATTATTAGGTTTTATAATGAAGATATTGTGGCCTGTCTTTCTTGTTTTCCATCAGGAATAGTAACAGAGTTGAGATGAACAGGATTCCTTAAAGTTACTGAAAGTATTTAAGAAACAGACCTACAATAATGAAATCCAGTAAGGAAAATTATATCTTTAAACTGAACAGGTGACACATGTATTTAAACAGGTTACCTCCCCCAGAAGCAGAAAGAACAAAGTTACGTGATTTCAGATTTAACTATCAAATCTGTACAGAACATCTCTCACATCTGGAATCACTGAGTCATGGGTATGTATATAGGTTTAATGTTTAATGAGTGATTGGAAAGTGATTAACAATGTCCATAGTCCTTAACATAGTCTATCCTAGCACATAGATATAGCATTAAAATGTGACCTGATGCTTGATGTTAGACATACTTTTGCGTAAATAAAGGTTTTCCATTACTATTCGATGAAGTACAGGCAGAGATTGAGTTTTTGATGTGAAAGAAGAAAAGTGAGTGTTTGAAGGTCTGTTAGCATATGATGACTAATCAGGCTGGTTTAAATCAGCTCGGAGGTATTTCAGTAGTGTAGCTGTAGCATGTGGAAATAATCAGCATTTTGACTTCTTATACTAATGTAATAAGTGTCACTGCTGAAGAGGATCGAAACAGGCACAAATTCTAGCTTCATTTTCCTAATGTTGTAGAAATTTTGTTAAAGGATACCCTTACTGCTTTTCCTTCTTTCCTGTCACGTATACGGCAGTGTTTAAACAAATTCTCCAATAATGAGGTCAGAGTACATAAAGGATATGCAGACCTTATGTGGATGTGGTAAATATTCCAGTAAGTCTTTGCCAAGCAGCAGCAGTAGTCCTCACGTATCCCCCCAAAGATGCTAAAAACAGGTTTATTCATAAACACTGTTACTTTTTAAAAATGTCTTAAGGCAGATAGTAACCTTCTCGTGTATTTGACCCAAACTGTTTAATTTTTCTGATGATTTTTGCGATGGGATACCACAAACTCACCAGGAAGATGTTTCCTATGGAAGCTAGTTTCTGAAACAGAAAAAAAAGAAAGAAATCACCATCAATAAATCAAAATCTCAAATAACAAATTCAAATAACAGCTTGAATTTCTTACTGCAACCACAGGTGTCGCCCCCTGCTGGCCATTAGAGAGAACAGAAGCTACATCCGTGCGTTTACGGCCTATGGTTTTAAGGTGTGGCTACATAAATTATGCTTGGTTCGGGTTAAACACATTCATTCAGTTCAGTTACCATGTATGTTTGTGAGACACCAGCAGATTATCCGCAGCTTTGATTAGACTTCATGAGAGTGAGAACAGGGTGGGACTTTTTTGTTCCATTTAAAATGGATCTATTCTGCATTTGCTTACTTCTTGTTCCTCCTGTTCCACTGGTGACTGTTCATATTAAATATAACCAATGTTTCAGATAATGAGGTCAGTGTTTGTACAGGTAATCCCTCTGAGACAAAAGCTTGGCCAGGTCTAGACTGCTATTAAAACTCAGCCCTATAATGAGGATAACCCTAATATGGAAATCTTAGAAACTTTGTTTCACACAGGTGAAAAAACAAGCAAAGGCTTGATCTGACTGATAAACCCAGGATTGACAAGACATTAGCCAATGAGAATTGAGATTAAATTGGATACATTCATCAGGGAGGAAAGTGTTTACTGAGTTTATAGCAAATGAGCTGAAGCCTGTTTCTCCATTACACTTCTTCGGCCAAAGGAATCGCCCTGTGCTAGCTAAAACAAAGAGTAGGGATAAGACAGTGCACTGAGTTCATTTTTCTTTGTACAGATCGGGCAGCAACAGTAAGCACAGAACAGAAGCCCCACCTACCTCAAATTTTGTGATTAAGAAGGGCAACCAATCAGAAGAAAGTTGGCTTAAATAGTGAGGGAATGGGTTTCTGGGCCCTTCATAAGACAAACTGCGGTTGAAATGAGCAGAATGGTCTTTATGGTTTGAATTATATTACAGCTTAGTGTTTCACAGAGCTTCCACTTGGATAAAGTGAGTATGGAGTTCCCTGGTGGTCCAGATGTCCTCTCTTGGTCCGATGGCAGACTCATAACTCAGGCCTCTGACACTGAACCCCTTGTGAAACCATGTTATTTCATATTCAGTCCTTTTCTTTAGCTGTCATTAAATTTGTATTCAGGGCCATCGTTCGCAGATTTAAAAAAAAGAAAAAACATGCCTGAGCTGTCCTCGTTAGACAAATGTGCCTCGCATGCTTCTTATGTTGAATCTGTAGCTCTTCCATCAAGCCTTTATTTTTGCAAATATTCGTGTTTTTATACTAAACTGAAGGAAACCTTTTCTGTGTCAGGGCTGCAGACCCTCTGGGGCGAGCTCCTCTTTGCAAACAGCTACCTCCTCTGGAAGAAAAGATGAGAGTCTACGTGTGTGTGTGTGTGTGTGTGTGTGTGTGTGTGTGTGTGTGTGTGTGTGTGTGTGTGTGTCACACTCTGCATTCATCATTCACAGAGAACATTACAAGCAGCCATCCCTCAGCATGGTCCTGGGCTCATCCAGGAGGAGCTTTCTGAGCCTTCTGCCGTGAGAATAAATATCTGGTTGCACTCGGTGGGCTGTGTGGAAGCGCCGTCCCACCTCAGAGGGGGGATTTGGAAAGAGTAACAAAACACTAATCACACAGGGCAGAAAACTAGTGCTGCACTGGCCTCTACAGGTTCAACACAGGTTATTGCACTCACATGGCAAGCTTTTGAACCTATAATTAATCTGTAGGGGCCCCTGCAAGGCTGGTTTCCTGCACAATGTGCTCATACATGAGCAGTGTGGGTTTTCTCTCTTTTCACTGCCTTTTGAATTGGGCCATGTTTGAGCACATTCTAGAGGTCCAAACAATCAGGGAGGCCGATTTTTGTTATGTTCTGATTTTGTCCAAGAGTGTCAAGGGTTTTTCCAAAGCTAATCCACCCCTGTTTACGGTGATAGGTTCAGCAAGCGATCAATCCACCAACCAGTACCAAAGCATACTTCTCTTTAAGCCTCAGTGCACAATCAGTCTCAAATTTCCACTAGAAAGAGCAGCAAACACGACGAAGAGCTGGCTGTCTAATTACAGAAAGATGCTGGGGTTTTTGACAGGACTCCTGTGCAGCTGGGAGAGTTTGTGGAGCCACCATCTAGTGGCCATCAAGTATTTCTGCTCCAGTTTTCAGCAGCACTGCTTTCTGCTTATGTGCTTTTACTGCATCCATAAAATGGAAATTCTTGTACAGGACAAGCTTGAGTCAGACATGAAATAGTGCGTGATTACTGCAGAAGCCTGTGTTGTGCTCCTTTGTCTGCCTACTCATAATGACTAAACCCAACTGTGCGCTTTCAGTTTGCAACACAAACGCACTGCAGATCTTCTTCCAGTCCCTGCGGGCCAGAAATATCTAACAGTCTTATTATTATTGCCTGTGAAAACACCTGCCTTCATTTAACTGTGTGCAAAATGAAATATTCCGGCAGTTGACCACAGCTTGATTTCTGCCCAACGAGTCAGAGAAACCAGGCTATACTGATATCAGTCAGATATCTGTATATTCTGACTGATATTGTAACAGGAGACTGACAAAGACTCGAAAAGTGCAAATTTCCACATTTTTTGGAACAAGTGGAGACTTATATAACAATAAAAAAGGTTCATCACTAATTTCTGCCTCCACCCAACTGTCTAGAGAGAACAGCATCCCTACCTGGATAATCTAAACAACTCAACAGTCTTCAAACTGAAAAATGAAGCAGAAAAAGCTGCAGTTCCTCTAATGTCCATACTACCAAGTTAAAAAGTCTAATTTTACAGCAGAAGAAAAGTCTGCTTGGATTCACCCCAGCCAGTTGGAGTCCCTGAGCTGGACCATGTTTGTGCTTTTAGAGATTTTTAATGGAATAAATGTGGTTAGTTGACCACATGGTTAATTTTCCTATCAGTCCATCCATTAATTAGCAGATATCTGTTTTTGTATATTGCACATTTACAATAAGCAGTCTAGCACTAGCTGGTAACTTAGACCTCCATCCAAATATGGTCACTTCTGGCTCCAGAAAACAAATAATTTGTGGATGATGTCACAGTGCATATGTCCATCTTTTATGTTCAGTCTATGGGAATATTTCTTTGATTTAAAAGAAAGTCATGAAAGCATGGTGTTTTATGAATTTATGAAGACTATAATTACCTATCATTATTCATCGTGGATGGATGTTTGTGAATCAACTGAATGAAGCAGGTTTTCCTGCTTCATTTTTTCTGAATATGCAGAATTTGCATCTGTTGTGTTAAAAAGCCAAACTGAGCATTTCCTCATCAGTGAAACCCGCAACCCCCTTATATATATATATATATATATATATATGTGTGTGTGTGTTTCATATGCATAAATATGTAAGAAAGCACAGTTTTGTTGTAATTTTTCTGTCAAAGATTTGACCTACCTGTATTTTTGCTTTTATAATTGTGCCCTTTTTCTTTTTTTTCTTTTTTTCCTATTTTCCATTATAAAGCAGTTTGTTCCCTGCATTATACTGCAGGGAACAAATTTAATATTTATTTCTTCAGCTACTTGATCCAGACGTCAAAATAAAGAAGTTTCTTTACTTTTAAACCTGTGTGGAAGTCTTTCACTCAGAGACTGGCTGGTTTTCGGAGTTGCAGCTACAGGCCTCTGAAATGAGGACATTCCTGGTAGACAGCCTGGGTGGAATTTGAATAGTACAGAGGAACCGCCTGAAGCTGATTGGTCGAGTGCGACATATTTCCAGAGCTCCTGCTTGTCACTCAGCAGATCCCAGGCGGCTGATTGGCTCCCGCAGAAGTGGGCGGGCGCTGCTTCTAGGCTATATATACATTCTGGTTTTAGGGCATCTGCAAATGATTGCTGGCTTTCAGAGGGAGGCGGATCTTTGTGTCCAATGTGTCTCCACAGAGCTCACTTGAACCTTTCTCCTGGAACCAAACGAGCCCCGCTGAGATAGCTGAGAGCCGCTTTCTCTCTCCCGGAGAGGAGCTGGAGGCTGACCGGGGGAACGGAGCAATGATCAGCACCATGGAGTGCGCCGTGGACGCGCAGAGCCTGATCTCCATTTCCTTAATGAAGATCCACAACTCCAGGACGCAGAGAGGAGGAATCAAGCTGCACAAAAACCTGCTGGTCTCCTACGTGCTGAGGAACGCCAGGCAGGTCTACATCAAAGAGAAGTACGCGGAGATCTACAGGATGCAGCAGTACGAGGAGGTGATGACTGTCTGCAATGAGATCCAGGAGCTCAACCCGCTGGATCTGGAGGCGGAGGACGCGGAGGACGAGGAGCAGGCGCGGGCTGCTTGCTGCGCAGAGGAGGCGAGCGCGTGCGGCTCTCCGTGCCACAGAGGCGCGGCGCATTGCCGGGCGGCGGGTACTGTGGCCGGCTGCTCCCTGTTGGAGGACGGCTGCAAAGAGCCGGAGCCCTCCTATTACCGCAGCTGCTGCATGGAGGCTCCCCCCGCGCCGCTCTGCGAGCAGTGTCCCGCAAACAGCAGCGCGCACTGCAACAAGACCACGGTGTTGGACCTGGACACGCATGTGGTGACCACGGTGGAGAACGGCTACCTCCACCAGGACTGCTGCTGCGACGCGCTCCAGTGCGGCCAGAGCGCGCAGTCCCCAGCCAAGAAGCGGAAGGTGGAGTTCGGCTGCTGCGCGTCGGACGCGGAGGAAGCGCCGGACTTCACGGCGGCTCGCAAACGGGCCAAACGCGAGGACTGCTCCTACTCTGCCCCGGACTATACAGACACTTCCAACATCTCCAATCTGATCTCCATCTTCGGCTCGGGGTTTTCGGGGCTGCTGAGCAGGCAGGCGGACTTGGAGCAGATCTGTAGCAAGCAAGCCCTAGCCAGCCTCGGAGCGTGGACCCGAGCCATCGTCGCGTTTTGAATGGAACACTTTTTGTTTTGGGGAGGGGAGAGCGGGCTCAGCTGGAGCGGGACTGTGTGATGCGTCCAGCTCCTGTGTGGGTGATGAGGGGGTGGGGGTCAGTTTGCTTCAAACTTTAAACGTTCTGAGGTCCCAGAAAGTTTACAGAATCGCAACATTCTAGCAGAAAGTGAGAGAAACTCTGCAGAAATGTGGACGCTTTTGCACCTTCAGTAACATGGCATGGTCACAGGAGAGGGAAACTTATCATGAGACACAAGTGGTAAACAGGGGGTCAGTTTTAGCGCTTGTATTCACAGCAATGCTGCTAACTACAGCTGTCACTTTTCCCTAACAGTTTTGCAAATTTAGCCTCTTATATTGTGGAAACTAGGTTACAGAAATTTGGGCCCTTATGGGGACATTTAGGGGTCAGCTTGTACTCCCCTTTCTTCAGAATTGGGCAAAGAAAGTTTCCAGTTTTAAGTTTGTGTGTTCCAGCTCCCCCTTCCTGCCCGCCTTTTCCAGTGTCAGCCATAATAAAATCCCATGTGCTAAATAAATCAACAACTCCAACTGAATTGTACCTCAAAGCACACTTGTGTCTTACAAATCAATAGCAATGCTTCTAATTGGAGGAAATGGAGGCATTCCAGCTGAGCCCACTCTCCCCTTACAGTGTCTAAATCGACTTTATTTTTGCAAGGAAAAAAAGAAAAAGAAGAAAAGCTATTTATTAAATGAGCAATTTAATGATAATAGTTCTTTGACAGGGAGAGGCGGGAGAGTTGTTGGTGTCATGTGCAGGCTTTTCATAAAATCTGACAGAAATGGATCCTTTGCCTTAAATCCAATGCACACTACTGCTAGCTATTGTCATAAACAGAAAGTCCATTATTGGAAGTGACTGAATGTGTCTGCCGTCCTCTCCCGTCCTGAAACTCTCAAACTGATCTTGCACACTCCCAACAGCTTTGTCGTCCTGTGAAGCACCACGTTCGAGAACTCACTCCCCAGAAAACACTCTTGAAGGTACACGGACTCTGAAGCAGCTCATATCGCTTGATGGAGTGCCAACACTTTATTCCACGTGGTCGTCTCTGCACCTCCGCTCCCACCTCCCTTCCAGCGTGTGGTAGTAAACAGTCCGGCTCATTTCTGACAGTCTGACATTGTTTTCTTAATCATGGTTGTTGCTCAAAGCCTTTCACAGCAATTCATGATTCCAGCTTTGGTTTTGTGAGTTTCACTTTGTACAAAAATACACAAAAAGTACATAAATAAAAGAGAATGATTGATTTTTAGTCCTTTTGTTTTAAAAAGGCAAGCTCATGTTTTTAGCCATAACCTGAGAATCCATGCGTTAGCTTTATGAGCACTATGTGTACCAAAATAAAGAGAGTATTCAGCCATTCTCTACATATTTTGTTGTTATTCTTGTATTTTTGTGCTTAATAAATTGTATATCACCGGGTAAAACTGTTCAAGAAAATATTTGTTAAAATTTATAATCTTAATAAAAAATGAAAACCTTAAAGCTTGTGTTTGACTGCCACATGAGGTGCTGGGATGCAACCTGATAATCGTGCACACACACAGACTCACACTACATTATTAATGACACACTTTGATGCACAGGCGTTAAAGTTGCGCTGAGCTGAAAGCCGCTGTTTGCCATCAGAGGGGCTTTCCAGCACCGAAAGGGTAAATTTTAACATCAAGCCATGATCTGTTCTCAGACCTAACCAACAGGTTTAGTCATCGACACTCAACCAAACTGCCGTTGAGCACAAGAGCAAAATAGTCTGTCAAAAAACACAACGGCTGAGGATTGATTTTGGTTTCGCATGGGGGACTCTGAGCCCGGTTTTACCAGGTGAAAGTCCTGGGTTTGACCCCTTTTATTCGCCGTGTTCCTCTCTGTGCTGCTCTCGCCACTGCCTGAGCCACTCTTCAGTACTTTTCCGGTGTTTCCCCCCCCCCTCCTGAATTGCAAACCGATGACATCACAGCAGCGTGTTTGGTCAGTTGCAACAACACTTCCTGGAGCAACATTACAGTGTTGTAGGAACAACAACAACACAGCAACAGCTACCAGTGTGCTGGTCTGAGGCTACAGTTATGTGTGTTACTGGGTCACATTCAAAGGTCTGTCAGTTATTCAAATCTGGATTTATATACACTCACAGCTAATCACACTTTTGCAGGACAGGGGCGTGAATGACTGGTAGAAAAGTACAGAGTGACGTTAAGTTCCATTAAAATGACTTCTGTAGGGTTAAAATAATCCTGATGATTGTTATTTCACTATCAACTCAGTATCCCTTGGTTGTTGTTAGTATTGATAATTGTTTGAATTAGTGAAGTTAGGGAGTGCAATCATATCTTTGGCTCCTGATGAGGTTGGGGGCGTGCTTCAACCACTGGGCGATAAAGCCAGGTTAGCTGTTTCCCTCACAGAGAGGCATAAGATAACATACAAGACAAGAAATACTTTATATCAGTTGAAATAAAAATGATGATCATTATTTTTGTCATCAAATCTGGCCTCTGAATTTTTCTAATCTTGTGTGGTTGCCATTGCCGACAAAGCTGGGCTGAAGACACAAGAGTACAATCGTGACGGTTTATAGTGCCATTTTAATGATATAACACTACAAAAGGTCAGAGATGCACAGATTAGAGACTTCATCTATTCCTACACCAGTGCTGATGTGGAGGTTTTGTCCTAGCGTAGAGGCTGATTGTTCAGGAGAATGCTGAAACAACTAGTTGTGACATCAGCGCTTGAATAAATGGTACAACAGCACTATGGCGACCAATGTGACAAACAAACATTACAGAGCCATAAAGAGGCGTCCACACAGGATGAGGCTGTGGGTCAGAAAGTTAGTGGGTTGATCTCCAATTCCTCAAGTTGGTCAAGATACCGAACCCCGAGTTTCCCCCATTGCATCCCTCTGGTTGTAAGAAATCATTTTGAGTGGTCAAATAGAAAAGTGCTGCATAAATACCAGTCTGGCAAAACAGCAAGCAGAGACCATGAACTACCAAATAATAGGAGAAATATGAAAACCATTCAAAAGTAGAAGAATTCAGATTTAAAGTTTTCTCAGCTTAAGCTACATACACACCACAAGCGATTCACAGCAACGTGACGACCACAACATGGCCAGTGAAAGCTAATCACTTTATATATGGTACTGGCTTTTAAATAAAAAGATCCAAATAAAATAGTAGTAATAATAACAATAAAACAAATGAGTGAGTACCTTTATACAAAGCACGGCCATTGTCTTGCACTGATTCTTTATGCAGAGTTAAGCTAGGTTAGGCTAAGATAAGCTAAGCTAACTACCTTCTGGCTATACATAGACTAATAAGTTATAACAAGAGATTATAAATCTCAGAAAAAAATATCTAGTCTTATTTATTATCTCTCAAAAAATGACAGGCTAATAATTTAAAATATAGCTTTTAAATGGATTAAACAGATGATTAGAGATTAGAAAACTAGATATAACATTACTTACTGAACTCTATAAGTGTTATTTGGTGTATTTTAAAAAAAGCTAAGCTAGATTTTACTCTGCGTTTCTGGTAAACTGAGCTTTTTGGCAATTTAATAGCAACCTAACTCCTTATAAAATTCATGACTGATTTAGGTTAGAATTATTTTTAACACGATTTAAGTCAATTTCATCTCCGAGTGTTAACAATATAAAATACTCTGTTTTTCTTCTTTATGACCATATATCAATCTTAATCGATGAAGCTAATATATTATATGTATTCTTTTCATTAGATTAAATAGTATTAAATCCACTAAACATAATATAACAACTAAGAACAGTAAAATTCAGGCTTTTGGAGGCGGTTGTACATACAGTATGTATTGGCCATTGCAAAGGCACAACACTGTTTTCTTAGATTATAATACATTTCTTCATTTTTCTCCAATTTTTCATCAGTAATGATTCATCAGACACTCTGTGAGCTAAACGGCTATCTATTTTGCCTCCTGCTCCCATGATGCACTGCTTCTACCATATGCGACATAGCTCACACTTCACATCTCAGCCTGCAAATTCCTCCTCCAGAAAAAAAAAACAACAACTTTGAGCCCTGTTATCTCTGCTCTGTGCCACTTGGTGGTGTTCTTTAAAATCAATGAATGAAGATATCAGCCGGGCTGTGTATGCAGAGCAGAGCCACCTCGGGCTGACCCTCCCTCCATCACTCAGACCTCAACACCCTCCTCCTCCTCCTTTTCCACCTCCTCCTCTTCCCGGCTGGCTCGTATTTTGGGGTTTTTTACATCAGAGTGAGGCATCGCTCTTCCCCAGCACATCACATCCATCGCTTACTGCTGCTGCTCCTCCAGCTCTGCAGGCTTTTTCCAGCCGCCGCTACCCATAATAACTTGCAGTAGGTAGGCTGTAATTGAAGTGATGAGGCAATGTGGATAATGCATTGTGTAATTATGCGGAAATTGGAAGCAGGGGGATTTATTTACAGAAAATGTCTGCCTACTGCTCTGAACCACGATTCAAAACACAATAAAAAAACACGAAGCGATACCAGAAATGTCTCATGGCTCAGACCTCTCACTTCTGTGTAGATGGTGCTTTTGTTTTCTGGTGTATGTACAGCTCCTCCATCTGGAGTGGGAAAGACTGACACCCATGCACACACACACTAATGCACACACATACACACAAGCAAAGTCAAATGTTTAAATAAAGTTATTTCATGCATTTTGGTTTTATCTGCTAATATTATTCAGTAGTAAGACATTTAGCACTCTTAAAGAATCTGATTATGAAGCAAAGTAAACAGCTATCCAGATCAAATCAGGACATATGCACAATAAAAAAATAGCAAATATTTCACTAATCTCACAATTTTTCTGGTCACCTGGTTCTCCGGAAAGGACAATACCAGGTGTCAGGGGGTGATGTGGGGTTGTTGTTGTTGTTATGTGGGGGTGCTGGAGAAAGAACAACAACAAGAAGGGGGATGAGAAGGAGGAGGAGGGGGAAGATAACAGAGGCAGCACTGAGGGGGGAGGGAGGCTTTGTCAGGAGAAGGGGTTTGATGTGTTGGGGGGTTTGCAGGGG